ATTTGGTACAAATGCTGCAATCCTAGCATAGTACTGACACTGCAGAAGGTAGGTGGAAAAGTTTATCCCTCTGTTAAAAAGTTCCACAAATGAGCTTATTTTGTCTGAGTTGAAGAGGTGATTCAGAGCTAGAGACTCACTTGAGTGCTCTAACTCTCTCCCAGAAGCAGTCACTCGCAAGGCACTGAAAAAACGGAAGAACTAGCTTCCTCCTTTAGGCACTTAGGCACATAAGGCTGGTACCTTGAGTGAGGTGGTGTGAATAACCTCTTCCACTCCCCCGTTTGCAAGTGCATTTGCACAAGTCCTCTCTCTTTCCTTCCTTTTCCCACACCTCTCCTTTCCTGGTTCTGCTCTTGTCTGACCCTCCAAAAAGCCAACCTGGCTTACTAATCCAGACAAATTTCGGTTGATCCATTTCTGCTGGTGCACGGAGCAGAACCTGCTACCAGATAATCAAGCAAGTCCCAGAGCTGCCCTAGAAGGAGGCAGAGCCAAGGGGCTCTAAGGAGAGAGAACGGCCGGCCTTGTTATAGCAGCAAACCCTGACTTGCCTGTCTGTACCCTCAACTATTTTTCCGTACTGCAGCTTTTTTTTACCTCCTTTCTGCTTTCCAGCTGTTTCAGTTGCTGTTGCATGGTGGGGTCTCCTGAATCCACTCTCATTTCCAGATGGAAGAAGGTAGCTTCAACTGAACTACTTTTGGTAAAAGCTACGGAATCAGTTTTTCAGTAGTAATTGGAAACAAATAGGAAACGCCTCTTGGAAATAGATAGATAGGTAGGTAGGTATGCGGGTAGGTAGGTAGAGAGCTAGAAATTTGTCCTCTTTCCTACAGAAAAATCCTGTAAGTTCATCTCAGACAGTCCTGAAGGGCAGAATATGCTCCTTGTCCAGCTGCAGGTTTCATGAGGGCCTTTGGGCTGAGTGTCCAGATTTAGGTTGGTGCGTTCAGCAACTATTAGCTGCTTTTGTCATCTTGGAAAATCAGAAGGATATTAGCCAGCATAGAAGGAATACAAAAAGGGCTTTTAAACGTGGGATGAGATGTGTGTATGCATGTATGTGTTTGTATATACATATTATATATATATATGCATATATTTATACGAGATGCATATTACTGCCTGTGAACAACTTTAATTAATTAATTGAAAAAATATATTGGGGGCTATAAGGCAAGGATGGTACCTATTAAGTTAACATACTGTTGATTTGCTAACCTGTTATATGTTTTTTGCTAAACATACATGAAGCAGCACTGGATGAGGATAGGTGAAGAAGAGATAATAGTGAGGTACAGAGAGGGATAAGAAGGTAATGGGAAAAAAATGAGAGTTAAATGTTCTTTTCTCTGTCCATAGTGGCAAGCAGTAGCTCGTGGACCCTACAGCTTATTTTAGCTCATTTTCCAATGTAAAAGCTGAACTGGGAACCATTCAACATTTCACATTTAAGGACAGACGTTGAAATCGCATTTGAGTGGACAGATCTCTGAGAGGGTCAGTGCATATGGAGCTGATTGGAGGACCAAAGGGCCGATCTTTATAAATGAAGGAGTGTTAAAATAAGCATCTTAATGACAAGCTGCCACTGAAAAGGCATCTGGGATTTTAGTAACTGAGAAGTTGAGGAGAGGTTCAAATTGCCAGGGGGGATCTTTGAGGCAGAGAAAGCATTGGGAAGGGAGCAAAATAACAACGAAATTATGTAGTAGATGTGAAAAGAAGTATACTCGCAAACATTCCCATTGTACTAGAAGGGTTTTTTTCCACTGGAAGGAGAGTGACATATATGTATATATGTTATATATGTATATTCTGTATATTACATATGTATGCATGTAAAATTGTTACTATTATCATTGTTGTTGTTATCTTAAGGGGAAAACAAGCTGAATTTAACCATGTATTGCGAGTACAGATTACCTTAGGGTGTTCATCTACAGATTAGGGAGAATCCTGGGTAGGTGTGCCTACAGAGCTAAATGCATGGTGCATCCCACCACAGTTTTTTGCTGTAAAGAGTTCATTCTCTCTGAATTCCTGTGAAATACAAATATATAATGATTTCTATTTATTCTTTATTTATATTTTGGCTTCTTTATTGGTGCAGCAGGAATACTGATGCTTATTTTTCACAGGTGTTACGAGGCTAAACTTCATCAGTATTTGTAAAATATTTTGAAATCTTGCATGAATGGTGCTGGGGAAGTTCACAGCCTTATTTTAAAAATTTAGCAGTCGTTTTAGTGAGAGCGATTAATCTCAGGGTAGCGCTGCACTTTTTTTCCCATTGGTTAAAAGCTTCCACTTGCGATATAATTACAAATAATTTAATCTTCCTCAAAGCATTCAGCACTCTCTTTCTGCCATGATGAGTACCATAGAAATGTCTATTAAGGAAATAAATAAGAGGTTTTTCTTTTTTTAACAACTTCGTTTTGATTTGAGTACAGCTATCATTACGCTTATTGAACTAATATTTCTTAGCGTTGCCCACATACGGTTGAGATATAAATACTCATAGCTTCCATAATGTCTGCAGCTGTATAATTTAAAAAATGCAGCAAATCAAAAGGAGTACACATTTATCTAATTGAGTCTTCACAATTAACTAGCCTTAGAGCCTTCATTTCCCTATCATTTTTTGAGATGAGGAAGGGAGCTACTACTAGTCATGGCTGGACTGTTCCTACTGGCTTCAGCTATGCATAAACTGATCTTCTTCTCAGATTAGTGGGTCTCATTTTTCAGAGCAATTGCTGTTGAAATTGATGAAATTGTACTGATCCATCAGATGCTATTTGCAAACATCTACTTTCTCTTTTACCCTACATAAGGACTTAAGAATGGTTGTACTGTGTCTTACCAAGGATCCATCTGGCTCAATATCTTATCTCCAACAGTGGCTGTTCATGAATGCCTAGGGAAAAGTATACAGACTGAAAATCATATACTGATATTTCTTTGGTGAATACTTTCTCGCCTTTGAGCAACCTGCAGTTCAGTAATGTCTTGATACAAGAGCTGTATCTTTGTGTTCAATAACCCTTAGTAAATTTTTCTTCCATGAATTTATCTAATGGCTTTTTGAATCCGTGTAGACCTTTGACAACCACAGCATATTGTGGCAATAATTTCTAAAGTTCACCTACATATTGTGTGGAAAGCAAGAATGCCCTCTTATTTGCTTTCAACCTGACCATTTCCTACCAGAGCTAATGTTCTACTTTGAGTTGCACACTATCCCACAGGCTTTTCAGTGAAATATTTCTGTCTGAAAACTTAAAAACTCTGGGCTCTTTCTGCTGTCATATGTAATTGTATTTCCGAGTTGTCTTTGAAAAGCAGCTTTTGCCTCGACAGGGTTGACTGGCTGGTCTTGCCAGCCTACCCAATCTCCTGAGAGTACCTCCTAGAAAACAATATCAAGGCAGAATAGTGTCAGCCTCTTGCTACACATTCAGGGTGTGAATTTGAACCTTGTCCTGCATTTATATGAAAGGCTGCCTGCTGTCACCATAGCTCTAAATTAGTGCCTTGTTGTTTAGACTGCTAAGTCCCACTTCCCAGCTTGCCCATGGCTACAGGCACTGCTGTGAATTCGCTGTACTGACTCAGTGGACCGTTCAAGTCAAGGCAGGTCTCTGGGTCTCTGACTTTTTTTGGTACCCTTCAACCCATGGGCGGTGTGGTATATTTAGGAGCTCGTAGGACTGGGGTTTTGCAGGGAGGTGCCCAGCTGTAGTGTAAGAGGGTAGCAGGAAGCAGCTTTATGTCCAAGGAGGAGCAGCAAGAGCCAGTGATGAAGGTTCCTCCCTGTTCATCACCTTTTACACCTCTCTACTGAAGAGCTGGCTTTGCTCAGAGGCAGAGCTCCGCTGATGTCTCCAGGGAGGGGGCGGAAATGGATGGTTGGTCATCAACTGATAATTATTAATGACTTTCTATATGAAGTTGATTTACAAAATATTTTCTTCCACCTTACAGGAAAGATGCATCAGAGCTCTTGCTCTTGTCTGCTGTACAAAATTCAGGATGGGGGAAAACAGATGATAAATATGCACGCACCGCAAGGGAGTGGAGTAGTACAGAAATAAGCGACTACTCAAAACCCTGCATTACAGATCTGATTAATAGCAATACTGCATCTAACTCAATTTGCAAAAAAAGCACTTGGAAAATTTAAGAGAGTTTACTTGGGCAAGCCATCAAGCTGATGACTGTAGCTGGTGGAGGTAGGGTGGGTGGAGACTAATGAAACATAAATCTAAAACAGATTTTTAAGGTCCTAAATAATTGCACAGTCAGTTAATAGTATGAGGCTTACAAGAAAAAATATAGGATTCAGAGTGATTGTTTAATTATAGAAATGTACTGATGCTAGCTTTATTCTACAGTGTTAATAAGGATGAATCTTATTGTATGTTTATTGTATTTTAATTATATATGTCATCTGTTGTGCTATGCTATGGGTACTCAGCAGAGAGCAAGGAAAAGTCCTCTATAAACAGCATTTATTTTAACATATTATACTGGAAGTCCTCCTTGGTCTAAGGCAAGAGGATACTTCTTCCCCATAGGCCAGCCTTCTTCACTAGCTTTTTTCTTTCTCTTCAAGACTATAATCATGGCCAAAAATACCTCTTGTAATTACAGTCTTTATTCACTACCAGATGCTCTCCACTTCTAACATGTGAAAATTACAGGCAGTGTACTAGGTATAGCTTCAGCAGAATTTCACCAGAGATGAGCTTAAGCAATTTCTGTGGCTTTGGAAAGATATATCCTTTCTCGAGAGAACTGTGCCAGAGGCAGTTTTGACCTGATTTGGTTGGACTGGCTGTTATTATGACAGCTAGGTCTGGAATCAGTTGGCTAAAACTACTCCTTCAAGCACCATACCCTGATATTCTCATCCCCATTTACAAGACCCATTTTGCCACAGCTCATCATCTGGCTTTTCTTCTTCCTTCCCTGAATGTGCTTGGCTCCTAAACCTGCCCACATGCTCCCAGTTGCTACCCTTAGCACTACTCATTATTCATTTAGGAGCACATGCCTCTTCTTCACACACATGTACTAAATATACACTTCCATAAAATGAACTGCTGAAAAGGCTCGAGAAATAAGATGATCAAATAGCGGTTGAGGGAAGAAATTTCTCACTGCAAATCAACAGCCACAGTGTAATGCAGACTGACAGCGCTGTGTGGCCGGATTTTCAAGGCGCTGAGGATCTGGGGCAAGCAAGGACTTCAGAATTCAGATACAAAAGCTACATAAAGATTAAGGCTGTAATTCTTATATAATTCAGGTAATTTAGAATAATGCTATTGTTTGTTACAAAAATGAAAGGCTATAAAGTCAGTAGGACTGCTTTTCCTCATAACCTATGCCAGTGAAAATCAGCAGCAACCCCCCGTGAAGAGATGAGATTATACTTAAGACGAAACGTTGGAACAGAGTAGGGAAAAAACAAAGCCAATATGGTTGGCATTAAAGTTCTGCAGATACTCCTATTCCTGGCCTGTAAAAATACCCTTCTCCACCCAGAATTTTATATTTCTATTTCCTACGATGATACCTCATTGGTATTTCTAGTAGAAACCACAGATGGTCCCTTACAGTACATTCAGATCTAAGAAACATCTCACATTGCTGTTAGTCTTTTTCACCAAATCTCCAGTGAAGCATGATGTTATCAAATTTTTCTTCTATCATCTTACCGAAAGTCTGGCCACCTAGTATATTAAATCTTCTGGAAATTTCCTTATAGCTTCCTGGTGTCTATCTTCTCTGATTTTTCACTTTTGAGTTGTTTAATATGCATCTTCTTCTCACTAATCCTATGGGAAATGGCTTCAAATTCCAAATCACCAGAGCTCCCAGAAGGATTGCCTTGGGGTCAAACCTTCCACATTGCTTTTGATATTGAGGTATAATGGAAGACAAGTAGCCCAGTGAGCACAAATAGAAATGAGTTGGAGAAAAATTAAGGAATTTTGTAACAAAATAAAAAAGCAGAGTCACGATAAAAAATGCTCCAACTGTCTACTAGGTATAGGTTTATATGTAGTCCTTCATGTCATTCCTTTTTAATCTGATATGGTGTAGTTTTAGGCTTCCCCCATGTTTGTGAGGTATGTAAGTTACAAGAAAGGAAATCAGATTTGTCTTGTAGGTATAATTTTGGTGCAGCTGGGTATCAGGGTTGTGCCTGAGTAAACAAGCACTGCATTGTAGACATTCCTTCCCTAGGTGGTCCAGGAGCTCATTATCTAGTCCTCTACACAGACGGACTGGTTTGAGACAGTGGACTGGCTCAAAACCTAGTGATTGACTGAACTCCTAGCCATCTTCACAGCAAAGCATTTGACTAATTGGTGGAGGAGGTTTCAAGGTGGGAACTTCAGACTATCCTGAAGATTCTTCAAGGCAGCTGCTGTTCTGCCTAGGCTAACAGCATGTTCCAGTGTGTTAATTAAGATGCTGGGTGGGTAATCTGGCCAATCCAGAGACTCCACAGGCAGTTCTGGTTGCAAAATTAATCAACTCGTGCATAGATACGATGCATGTAAATGATCAGTTCTGTTTCTGCAGAAGTGGTCACACAGGACAGTCTTTTGTACATAGTTAAGTAGTTAGAAGATACTCTGTATGTAGTTAAGATAATCAGTCGCAGTAGATTATTCATGTGCTGAAGTGGTCACAGAGGTCCCAGAACCTCTGGGCAGAACAGGGGTGTTGGGGAGCCTCACTTGATCCCACTGAAGAGGCCACTGAACTGACTCTTGCAATAAAGACTTCCATCACCATACGGAGAGCGACCAACCAACTCATTTAAAAGATCTGATTCCCTATGTAAGCATTACCCTATGCCAAGATCCCAAGAAATTAGCTTTTTTTAACAAACACACTGTTTACGAGTATCTGTGCAACAGATGAGGAAGATTCGGAGAAAAGCCACAAAAATGATTAAAGGATGGAAAATGTGCCTTACAGTGACAGATTCCAGGAATGTTTGGTTTTCCATAGAGAGGATTATAGGATGACTTGAGCCCAGCCCCTAATTTCTACCTGGGAAACAAAGCTTTAATAATGGCCTCTCCAATCCAACAGGCAACAGTAAAACAAGATCCAGCAGATGGAAGACGAAGCTAGAGAAATCTGGATGAGAAATACAGTGCACTTTTTTCATAAAGAGGAGGTTTTTAACCATGAGAATACCAACTCATGGCATAGGGGTTGATTTTTCCTCTTTGGCAGCTTTAAAATTATAGTTTCATGTTTCTTTAGAAATTACATGCTCTAATTTTAACAAGAAATTTAAAAAGAGCTAGGGACATCCTGTGACTTGTGTTATATTTGGCATTTCAGCTGAAGAACATAAACATACCTTCTGACCACATCAAATGTTATCCTGTGGCATAAGGTCTTGAGAAAATACTATTCCTTACTGCAGTGCTAGATGAAACTGAAATTCCCTTTTCAATGTAACTGAAAATCATATCAAAATTTCAAAGAGTAATCAAGAAATGCAGGATTAGGTATTATAAATTAAAGTTGAGATGCACTGGCAGAGGGAGATGGGAAACTTGTACTTTGCCTATCTTTATTAAAATAACAATGTAGTCACTCAATATTTAAGCACAAAAAGAATTTTTTTTAAAGATAGAAACCTTACATCACCAAAATGACATGTGATTATGTTAAGTTTACAGTGGAGAAGAGTAGCACACTATGCGGTTGATGATTTCACTCAGTCATTAGGAAGTTTTATTGAAAGTTTTCTTCTTTTTAAATCTCTCCACTTTTATCTGACAGGTTTATTTTTACTGGATTTCTCGAGACCCATCAGCATTTGAGTGGTTTGCTCATCTTCTATCCTTTTTGGAAACAAAAATGGCTGAAAAAGGGAAAAAGGATTTCCTAAGTTATCATATATTTCTTACCGGCTGGGATGAAAGTCAGGTAATAATGAAGCTCTTACGAGACCGAGTTAATGTACCTTGCTTTTCTGGTATGGTAACATATGGAGCAGCAACAGTTGAATGAATGATGGATGAAGCAGAGAGACAAAGAACTGTAAATATAAAGAGACCAGGCTGCCTGTTTCCATCTCATATTCAGGAAAATAGGAACAGATAGATCAAGCCAGTGATCCTTCTACTCCTCTATCTTGTTCTGGGCAGTGCTGATTACCAGATGTTTTAGAGGAAAGTACAGAAGGTCTTTCAGAGGTTTGTGAAAGGACATTTTGTCTACATATCTTTCTTTAAGTAGATCCTGGCATTTTGCTTTGAAATATAGAGAGCTGCATAAAAAGCATTGGCTTTATTTACTCTTAATATTTATTATAACTTTTATTGTTCATATATATGTCCAGTATATTTTGAACCCTGCCGCACTCAGAACATTATGGCAATGAATTTTATGGACAAATTCACGTTGTTTAAAAAGGTATTTTCACTGCTTGGCTTTAAAATTAACATCTTATAATTTCACTGGGTCACCCCACCTCAAGGCACATAATTGTTAGTCTGCATAGATTGCATTCAACTTCTTTAGTCTTTATCTAGACCCAAATGAGTTGATTTTCTTTCTCTTTTTTTCAACTGATCAGTCAGAGCACACTGCAACCAGAGCTAGGTAACTACCAGAAAAACTCTCATAGGAAACTCCTTGCTCTAGTGTTTTATTTTCTGCTGTTTCTATTGAATGAAAGGACTGCCTAGTAGAGATAGAAAATAGAAAATGTCATATAGTTTTTCCCTTCCTGCCTCCCCTGCCAAAAAATATTGTTTCTTTCTGCTTTCCTTAGGGTTTATGTCAGGTAATGAGATATGTGCATAAAACTGTATTCACACTTTTTCTACAACTAGTATCTAAGGGAGTGTGTAAAGACCTCCTTTGAAATGAAAAATGTATTCCCATTGTGAAATATATGGCATTTTTACCAATGTTACACAAGCCATGACTCTGTTTTAACAGTATCACAGGGTATTATCTAATACCTGTTTTGAAACAAGCTATTCAAGAACCTAACAGAATACAAAGCTGACATCATCTTTCAGCATCTCACTCCCTTCTTGGACAAATGTCAGTCCAGAAGTAAGGTACGGAGACTACACTTCTTGCTGGGATATCTTTTCAAAGTGCCGTCTTCTTTTCCCCAAATCCCCCTATGAGCCTGCAGAAGCATCTCTGGAGTTGGGCAGCCTCCTCGCCTACCCTGGACCTTCCCTTGCTTCTGGAGATCCCGAAGCGCAAAATACTGTTATCCCACTTCTAAAAGGTTGCGGGTGAAGAGCATTGCTTTTGAAAGGGTGTTTCTCCTACTCAGACCAAGCCCAGAGAACTGTATTTGGCAACTGGTCCACCATCTTCAGAGATCCACAACGCTCCCTTATCTTACAGGTCTTTCCTACTTATCTTTAGGAAATTCCCGTTCATCACTCCTCTCAATGAGAGCTTCAACATCAGTAATACGTGGATGATGCTCAACTTTACTGCCTTTGCTTCTCCTTTAGCAAACAACAAAACCAGCATTCTCTCCTAGCTGTCTCTCTATTTAAATGACCAGTAGTTAGGTGAAGCTGAATCAAAGCAGGAGGGACAATTTACATCTAGTACATCTCCCATTGCTGGGAGGGTTTTTACTTTTCAGTCCTAATGTTTAATCCACTCCTCAAGCTCTTTATAGATTCCCTACTGGCACTGGATAGACAGATATGGCACGTGTCTGTCTCTGTTTAGCCAAGAAATTATGATCCTTGTAATGCCCTTGAAATTCCTAGCCATCAGTAATGCAGTAAGTTGTATGTGGGGCTGACAACAGCAAACCTAAAAAAGTTCCACTTGATATGAATGGAAATAGCCCATTATGGAGTGGCACAATTTTGCCGTAAAAAATTCACAAATCCCACTTCCCACACACCACTCACTAAATTTCAAGTTCTTTCTAAGTCCTCCACGACTTTGGCCCAAACTAACAAAAAGAATCTTTTAGAAACACGACCTCTTGTGACAGCTGTGCTTGACCAGAATAATTGAGTTGTCAAGCAACAGAGAAGACTCATTAGCACAAGAGTGCATTCCTAGAAAACAGATATAAATTTTGGCAACCATTTCTGCAAGAGGTGCCTAGTTCATGCTACAGCCTGAATACAAAACCCTTTTTAATATAGTTTTCCTCCAGTAATTTCTTGACAGTGATAGTAATGATGATAGTCTGTAATGAAAACAAGCATATTCATCCTACAATAGCAGTACAATTAAGAGAGAGAGTGGTTTTGGTTTTAAGCATACCAAGAAAGTATTCAGAAATCTTGGTTATGGGTGCAGCAGAGGATCAGTGAGAGACAGTAAATGCCCATGAAAATCAGGATTTGGTTTCTTGGCACTGGGAGCTGTGTAGCTTATTTAATTCAGTGCTCTACCTGAGCTGATCTGCTCCTTGCTTCTCCCTCCGCTTGATGGGAAGGGACAAAACACTCAGGGTTTTATCCTTGAAGACTCGGTACATGTGCTATTATCTTCCCCGTGAGCAGCAGAAAAAAAAATGCTCTGGACATACCCAGGGTCCCTAAGGTGCATACCATTTCTAATATTTGTCACCAAACATGATAGCATTTCTTCCCTTTCCTAAACTCCAACTCAGCCTTAAAATGTTTGCTGTCACTTCAGTATCTTCAGTGAAGAAAATGTAGGGTGTGATATTCAAAGGCTGCTAAGAGGTTTAGGAATCTAAGATCTGTCTGTGAAAGTGAGTTAGGCATTTAGGCCAATGCCAGTAAAGACTGATGTTTAATTCCAGCTCCTTTCAAACATTTCATCTTAAGCAACTGAACACCTTCAAGGTCCTGGGCTTAAGTTATTTTTGGAAGTGCTTTTTACACTTTTAGTCATTCTATGCACTCTTCAGAGCGTACCTCTCCCTCTCCCTCTCCCTGTATGCTGGAGTGCAGCCATTTGATAATTATGCCATTTTCTTTCCCTCATTAATATTTCTGTCTTTCATTCAGAGATAGCATTATTGCTTTCTCCTCTTGCTTGGAATATACATTGTTGATTCTAAAATGATTACCTTGTAAATTTGCCTTTAGGCTACTCATATAGCCCTACATTATGATGACAAGATGGATGTAATTACTGGTTTGAGACAGAAGACCTTCTATGGAAGGCCAAACTGGGACACTGAGTTCAAGCGACTAGCTGAAAATCATCCAAGGTAAGGCAGGTTAGCTTCTAACCTTGTTATGTAACTCTTCTCTCAGCATAAACAGTGGGAGGAAGGGAGGGTAAACCTTTTTAAATGACCCTTTTAAAATAATTCAGTTTTTTTGCTGTGTGGAAAGAAGATTTATGCTTAATGAAGCTTTTAATGAAGAAATCTCGGAAAGAGAATGCCAATAAAATCTAATTTTTGGACAAGAAAATCTAATATTTAGAAGTATTTCAATATCCTGGCCTTTGTCCAGATATAATTGAAACACACAATCCAATTACTGTTCTGCACAAAGGACAAAGTAGCATTAATTTCCCTTGAAGATGGTTATTAAAGAGATAAACTGTGATTTTTTTTCTTAGGATGTCAAGGATATGTTTGTTCCCCTAACATATTTGGCTACTCTTGCAAGACTATGCTGTTCTGTTATTAGTTCCTCTCTGCTGGCAAAGACAGTTCATTTGAACTTGGTGGATTTGCTAGTGGTCTGTGAAAAGCTGCTTTGTTCCTGAAGGCCTTTGAAGTGAGAATTTGAAATATTTTGTGTTCAGCAGTAGAAAATTCCAGACTCTTTGTGACTCTTTATTATTTCCAAACATTTACCTGTTAATACAAAATAAAGGCTTGCACTTGGGAGATAAAGACACAAAAAGTAAAGGAAGAAAATGTTTTTTTTAAGGATGAAAAAGGACTAAGAAAAAGCTGAAAGAGTGGCATCCAAGAGAATACAGTAAGCTACAAGAATAGCATAAAACTGCAGAAATAACAGTAATAGAGAAACCACTTGACAGAGGTCAAAATGAACACAATCAAGAAATACGAAAGATTAAAAATAGAGAAAGGCCAAGAGTAGAAAATATGATTTTTAAAAGACCTTTTAAAGTGACTCTATCGCAAGAACAGAGCTTTTAAAGTTATAGCTGAGACATTACTATTTTGTTAATTTTCTTAAGTAAAACTGAGAGAAATCTGGTTTTCTGATGCTCAGGGAAGAAGATGGGCATTAACTTTCCATACTGACTATGTGGTATTTCCTTAGAAAGCCAGTATTGAAGTTATAGAAAAATTTGTATTTATAGTTATCTATTGTGTTTATATTTGTAGAATAGAATTTGTATTTCTACTTATAGTAGAACTTACATAGTAGAACTTACATTTATAATTATAGAAAAATTTGTATTTGCTTCTAAGTCAGGATGCACATATTAACGGTCAAGTTTGAACCTTTTAAAGGCAACGTTGCATCAAATAAACACTTCTGGGCTCCTAATGCATCCTGAAGGACAAAGAACAAACACCCAAACTTTTCTTGGGTTGAGTTACAGAAGGTTTAAGATGTAGAGAGTTTCTTTCGTGTGAAGGAACAGTCAGCTCTTATGAACTGACTAACTTTTGAGTCCCTGCATCTAGGTCCAGGGAGTTTCTCTTGGCTGCAACAGTGTCTTTTTGCAGATTAGCAAGAATATACCACTCTAGGTTGAACCTAGTGTAATAGAGCATTAGAGTAATACTAGAGCACCACTTCCGGGGACAATGGCTTTGGCACCAGGATCAGATCTACAGGCACTCCTTTACAGGAGCAAACTTTTTGAAACTCATGCTGTCACTCGTCTCTTGCACATTGTTTAGCTAGATTCTGCTTTCCCCAGTAGCTCAGCAAGTGTGTGTATCCGTTTGTGCATACATATGTTTCCAAGGAAGATGTGCTGTATATCCATCCTTAAAAGCTAACCCTGTAGGCATGTTCCAGTAAAGAACCAGGGTTCCAGTTGCTTGTAACAGTCTTATGAAAACAGTTGCTTGTTACATTGGAAATGCTCTTATTATTTTATGAGAACTATCTATAGGCAAAATTAAAAAAGAAATCAGCCATTTAAAAATTGTCCGTAGGTATCTATATAAAAGTGTTAAAATAAAAAAAAAATAGAACATTCGGAAATAACTGAGACTTTTGTGCGTTTCTTTAGAAAAATAAAATTAACTCAACTGGAGAAAAAACATAGAAAAAAGTCAGTCCAAAGAGTGTGTTGTTTGCCCTTCTCTTTATTTCTCTGTCTTGAAAAAAATTAGGAGGATCAAACTAACAACAACCATTTAAAATAATATGTGACCTCCAAAATAGCAATCCAGATAAATAATGTAATAAGAGACAGTAAACACTGAACTATTACAAGGGTTATACAATAATCTTTTGTTGACAGTAACACAAGACTTTTTAAATGTATTTCTCACAAAGCCATTTCAAAATTTGTAAACAAGGCTGGAGACTGCCAAAAGGTGCATTTTCCTGTTTGCTGTGCTACTTTTATGTCACTGTTATTGTGATTACAGGAACAGTATTGGAGTATTCTTCTGTGGACCCAAGACTCTCTCCAAGATCCTTCAACAGATGTGCAATTCATATTCATCAGTTGATCCAAGAGGGGTTCAGTTTCACTACAACAAAGAAAGTTTCTAGGCTGTACTTCTCAGCTGTAAAATAGATACTACCAAATTGTATTTTTTCCTTACCTTCTCCAGTCCTCTACTCATTATGCTGCATAACAGCAGCTGTAAAATGAAGTAGCTGCATTGACTTCAGTGGAAAAATACAGTCCTACGCCAATTAAAGATTTGGACCCCATCTTCAGACTCTCCTTTGAAGAACTGAAGGGCTGATTCTCCATTACTTACTCCACTATATTGTGAATCCATCTACAGCTGTGTGAAAATAAATGCAAACCATTACTCTATGAAGAAACATACATAAGTAAATTAGACATTTAAAACCATACTTCACTGTTGTGTGTAATGCCACTGTGGGCTATTCTCTCATTCCAGTCGTTTACATGTCCAGCCATTTAAAATACTTTCCTTCCTGTTGTTCTAATTTCTCACTTCTCCTTCTAGCCTCCTACTGCATATATAGCCACATCACCTTTTGTACTAAGCAATAATGTTTCAATAAACTCTGTTCACCAAATTTCTTTTGCCCTACACTATGCCCTATTTAAGCCTCCTATTTCTGCAGTGTGGTGGTACATGCCATAAGCTAATATGTTCTGAAGGTTAATATGTTGAGTGGACTCCAGAAGTGTTTGTGCTCAGTGAATGGCTTCCCCAAGTCAGGCAACTGAAACTGCGGGAAGAAGTTTCAGGTGTCCTTTAAATGACACACTGCTTCATTGGCACTGCAGAATGGGCTTTAAAAGATACACAGTCACACAAACTGTAGAGTCACTGAGGTGAGAAGGAACCTCTGGAGACTGTCTACTCCAACCCCCCTGCTCTGAGCAGGGTCACCTAGAACAGGTTGCTCAGGGCTGTGTCCAGCTGGGTTTTGAATATCTCCAAGGATGGACACTCCACAACCTCTCTGGAAAATCTGTGCTAGTGCTCAACCACCCTCACTGTAAAAAAGTTCTTCTTATGTTTAAGTGGAATCCCCCGTATCTCCATTTGTGCCCGTTGCTGCTTGTCCTGCCACTGGATACCACTGAGAAGAGGCTGGCTCCCTCTTCTTTACTCCCCTGGACTCATTCCAGTATGCCCACAGCTCTCTTGTACCGGGGAGCCCAGGACTGGGCACAGCACTCCAGATGCGGCCTCACCAGAGCCGAGCAGAGAGGAAGAATCACCTCCCTCGACCTGATGGCAACGCTCTGCCTAATGCAGCCCAGAAGGCTGTTGGCCGCCTTTGCTGCAGGCTCATCGTCACCTTGCTGTCCACCAGGACTTCTAGGGCCTTTTCTCAAAAGCTACTTTCGAGCCGATTGGCCCTCAGCCCGTACTGCTGCTTGGGCTTATTCCTTCCCAGGTGCAGGACTTTACACTTCCCCTTGCTGAACTTCAGGAGATTCCTGCCGGCCTATTTCTCCAGCCTGTCGAGCTCCCTCTGAATGGCAGCACAATCATCTGATGTATCAAACATTCCCCCCGGGCTTTGTATCATCTGCAGACTGGCCAAGGGAGCACGCTGTCCCGTTGTCCAGGTCGTTAATGAGATGTTAAACGGTGTTTGTCCCAGTCTTGATCCCTGGGAGACACCACTAGTGACTGGCCTCCACATGTGCTTTGTGCTGCTGATCACAACCCTTTGAGCTTGGCAACTCAGCCAGTTTTCAGTCCACCTCACTGTCCACTTATCTAACCTGTTTTTTATCAGCTTGTCCATGAGGTCAGCGTGGGAGACAGTGTCAAAAGCCTTGCTAAAGTTGAGATAAACAACTTCAGTTAGGTATGATTTCCACTTCATAAATTCATGCTGACTCTTTGTTGTCTCTGGAGGTTTCCAGGAGGAAGCCACTTTCAGCTCCATCACCTTTCCAGGAATCAAGATGAGGCTGACCAGCTTGTTGTTCCCCAGATCCTCCTCCTTGCCCTTCTTGAAGACAGAAGTGACATTTGCTGTCTTCCAGTCCTCAGAAACTTCCACTGACCACCACAGCTTTTCAAAGGAAATCGAGAGTGTCCTCACAATGACATCGGGCAGCTTCCTTAGCATTCATGGGTGCTGAGGTTCCATGTGCATCAGGTCCCATGGACTTGTGTATGTTCAGTTTGCTTAAATGTTCTGTAACCTGATCCTCCTCCACCAAGGTTAAAGCTTCATTGCTCCAGATTTTCACACTTGTCTCAGGGGCCTGGGATTACTGAAGGCAAGTCTTAGCAGTAAAGATCAAGGCAAAGAACACGTGTAATACCTCAGCTTTCTCCAAGTCCTATTTCACCAGGTCCTCTGCCCCATTCAGCGGCGGGTCTGCATTTTTTCTCACCTTTCTTTTGCCGTTGATGCACTTGTAGAAGCCCTTCTTGTTGCCCTTCATGTCTCTCGTCAGATTCAACTCCTAGTGGGTTTTGGCTTTCTTAGCCCCATCCCTGCATGCTTAGCATTGTCTCTATATTCCTTCTGGGTCATCTGTCCCTTCTTCCACACCTGGTACTCTTCCTTTTTATGTTTGAGTTTTGTAAGGACTTGTCCATGGAACCCTCCTGCCACCTTTGCTTGTTGCTTGACTTCCTGCACATTGAGGTAGAGTACTGTTGAGCTTTGAGTAGGATCTTGAAAATCAAGATCCAATCCTGGACGTCTTTTCTCTCGAGGACTGTATCTCAATGGATCCTTCCAAGTAGGTCCCTGAACAGGTCAAAGTCTGCTCTCCTGAAATTCAGGGTTGCCATCCTGCTATTTGCCTTGCTCTCTCCTCTCCAGATCCTGATCTATTCCATCTCACGGTTGCTGTAGCCAAGACTGCCCCCGACATTCACATCCCTGACCAGTTCTTTGTTTTTAAGTAAGAGGTCCAGGACACCCTCTTTGCTCATCAGCAACTTGATCAGCTGTGTCAGGAAGCTATCAGCAATGAACTCCAGAAACGTCCTGGCTTGCTTAAGCCCTGCTGTGTTGTCCCTTCAGCAGCGATCAGGGTGGTTTAAGTTCCCCATGAGAACCAGGACCTGTGAATATGATGCTTCTTCCAATTATCTGAAGAAAGTTTCATCTACTTCTTCCTGATCAGGCAATCTGTAGGAGACACACACTACAAGCTCTTCCACATTGTTCTGCCTGCTAATGCAGGCCATGACACAAGATCTCAGCTGGCCCCTCACCTGCCCTCAGGTCCCGGGCCTTCCTAAAGAGCTTGTATCCATCCATTGCAGCACCCCAGTCATGTGAGCTATCCTACCAGGTCCCTGTGATCCCAACGAGATTGTAGCCCTGCAATGGCACACGACCTCCAACTCCTCCTGTTTATTCCCTATGCTGTGTGCATAGCATACAAGCAATTCAGAGTCATGCTGATTTCCCAGAAAAGGTGCGAGTTTCCCTCATCATGATCTCCTCTTAGCACCTCCTTATTTGTGCGCATACACTTTGCAGGGGCCCCCTTCTGCCCTGCTTGTTAATTATGAGGTCTCTCCTGTCCACATCGCCTTGCACCCTTTACTTGCCAGCCCGATCCACCACCTTCCCCACTTCATTGGGAGTCATCATCTCCCTCCCCCATTGCTCCTAGTTTAAAGCTCTTCTCACCATCTTGCCCAGCTTGTCAGCAAAGATGCCTTTGACCCACTTGGGCGGGTGGATTCCATCTTCTCTTGGCAGCCGTTGATCCTCAGAGAGGGTCCCATACTCATAAAGGCCAAATCCCTGTTGTTGACACAGGCCAAGCAACCAGTTGTTGACCCGCAGGATCCAAACCCCACCAAGTTCTACATCCTTTCTATAAAAATGTTTTGTTTAGTTGGTTGCAGAAATGGGAGGAATTTGGTTTGCATCCCATTTCATCACAGCTACACCAAGCTCATAGCCTTGAGAATGGTGTATCTAAAATGTACCCATACACATATTGCTGTTTAGCATTTTTTAACAAGGTCTAATTCATATCTGCATTTCTTATTTTTAAATCTCCTGTGTAACTGATCCAGCTTTTTCTCATAGGTCACGGATCATGCAATTCAGAATAGTTATCTGTTCTCTGATATACTGACATAGTGTTGATAGGTAGATACAAAACAGTAAGTCATCTTTTCAGCTCCGCAAACCTGCTGGCAGGTGCTGGAAATCCTGAAACACAACTCAGACCAGCTGCAGAGCTGCTGTAAACACTGTTCTCTAACAGCTGTGTTTCGAATGACCCATCCAGGGCCCAGTGTCACCTGGAGCCACATCTCCTAACATGCTGGGGCTAACATAAAGCTATGCATGCCATCCGTACAACCTGTGGTGCCTTACAGCACTTTGTATGTCAAAGCAGTAGAACAATGGCCTCCATGAGACCAAAATCTAGTTCTTTTTCTTTCTTTACTCCTGGCAGTTCTCACTGGCACAGGAGCTGCCATTTCTATAGTTCCTATCCTCTAGAACAGTCTTTCTCCTCACAGTCTTGTATTGCTTATCTTCAGAGTCTATCTGAGTGCATCCTCACTGCCTTTCTAGAACTGAATATGTCTTGCTCCTCCAAATGTTATTTATATTTAGCTTTGTGATTTCAACATTGTCACGCATTTGGAACACAAAATAATTTGAAAATGGAGGGGGGAACAAAATAAAAATAATGGAAACGTTGTAACAGTTACATAAACTGGAAGAATGATAAATTTTGTCCATATTAAAATAATCTTCCGTCTCCCCACAAGAAACATACCAAGTTAAAGAAAAAATACATTAGGATTGGACTGCAGCGTAACATAGAGTTCATTAGGATCACATAACGCATTTATCCAGGCACACAATAAATATGGGAAGTAGAAAATATCCTACATGTGTCAGGAACTGAATAAGACAAATGACAACATTACATATGTATACTTAGACATGATACATGGGAAAATGCCTGCTAAAGGGGACATAGCTGTATAGACAAATGAAGTAGAAAAATAAAAATTATGTCACAGAAGACTACAATATTATTTTATATCTCTTCTATTAGGGGATACAGTGTGTGTGAATTGAGCTTGTTCTACAAGATACAGTTG